ATGGCAAACAATTCCAAGGAATTGAAACAGTGGGAAGTTTTCGATACCCATCCCTACCCCAGCCCCAATTACACAAACGACAGATGTTATTGATAATGAGGCAGAAAGCCAGGCCTGGCTGTAGGAACTGATTTCAGATGTGGAGGAGGAGTGAAAATCTAAATGGTGGCGGTTCGATGTGCTGCGGACAAGCACAGGAGCAGCTTCCTGAAACATTTCCATCTTTTATCCAAGTGAAACAAGACGAAATGGGTGAAACGCACTAAACAGCTTCCTGAATCTTCAGTCTCGAGGACACTACAGTTCCCCAGGTTAGCTTATACAGACTGGTGGGTACGGTCACTGCTACCCCTCAGCCTTCCAGTAGATACGACTATGGTAGAAAGCCTGACCTCTGACCTTGAGGCTAAGATCAGCCTTTTACAGCTGACAAGCAGGCGTCAGGTTGTTTCACGTCGAGTCCCTGAAACGATAGAGCGTCCTCTGAGCGAGACTGTTGGTGTGTAGGTAGGTCTGTCACGCTCACACATACATGCACATTCATGGAAAGAGGGACACCGAGGACTTAATGAAGACAAACGTGGTGACGTCATTCGGGGCGACTGGAATCGATAAGGGAATCGTTTGCAAAAATGGCAAACAATTCCAAGGAATTGAAACAGTGGGAACCGGTTCTCAACAAGAACCGGTTTTCGATACCCATCCCTAATTAGGACCACGTATATCGACATGTGTACATTTCCTGCATCATCAAATGTATCCGCGCACATTTCAGCAATAATGTGATTCATAGTTTTGGCTGCTGTAACTTCACAGCTGGGCTTCAGTCAGTGGTTTAGTAGGTTTGAGCTTAACAAGCTGCACATATAAAACAAAGCAGCAGAGAATCTAAATGACACTAAACATGCTGTAAATAAAATAGCCAATGAAAACACCTCCAGCTCATCTTAACTCTGAACATAGCCTGCACCTGAGGTCTGTGCCACCAAGCAGGATTTCCTCTTATCCAGGTAACTTAACCCTGGATTTTCTGGGGATGGTTCATGTACTGTGCAGGTCAGAGATCAACAGGAATGTGAAATAGTAACAAAGCATGAACTCATTTTACAATGAAAAGCAACAGGACTATACTAAGGAGTGAGCACAGAGAGGGGGGTTTGGCTGAACCACACCTGTGCAGACTAAACAAGACTTCAGCACAGCTGAGAGGCAAAGCTGAGGGAGAATCACAGGCTTGTTGAGCTTGGTAGGAAGTGAATATTGTGCAAATGAAAGGCTTCGTCTCTGTTCCAGCTGCCAGCGGTCTTCATCGTCCTCCTCCTCGCTCCTGTGTTGACCAGCTGCACGGAGCTCATCCAGCCGAAGGACTGCAGCGACATCCGCCGCCAG